AAGTATTATCTTGAAGTTTCTAGGGTTCCCTTACAGAATACAGCATATAACTTTCAAATTAGAAAGGAGAAAAAGTTGAACGAGAAAAAAATGTCAATCCAAAAGAAGGCAAGAAAGTAGAGAAAAGTAAACTTAGATGATGGAACAAATTGAAAGCAAAAAATAAAATAATAGGCACAAATATTTTTCATACTGTATTTAAAAAATCAACACCAGAAGGCAAGTACAAGACTACTCATAGCAGCATATGTTCATTTACAAACAAAACCATATGACCCAGCAATGCCACTCCTGGGCAGATACCTGGAGAAAACCGTAATTCAAAAAGACACATGCACCCCAATGTTCACTGCAGCACTATTTACAACAGCCAGGACGCGGAAGCAACCTAAATGTTCATCAACTGAGGAATGGATAAAGAAGATGTGGTATATATATATACAATGGAATATTACTCAGCCATAAAAAAGAGCAAAATAATGCCATTTGCAGCAACATGGATGGACCTAGAGATTGCCATACTGAGTGAAGTAAGTCAGACAGAGAAAGACAAATATCATATGATATCAGTTACATGTGGAATCTAAAAGGCACAAATGAACTTATTTACAAAGCAGAAGTAGAGTCACAGATGTAGATAACAAACTTATGGTTACCAGGGGATGGGGGGGAGGGATAAATTGGGAGATTGGGACTGACATATACACACTACTATATATAAAATAGATAACTAATAAGAACCTGCTGTATAGCACAGGGAACTCTACAAATACTCTGTAATGGCCTATATGGGAAAAGAATCTAAAAAAGAGTGGATATATGTATAACTGATTCACTTTGCTGTATCCCTGAAACTAACACAACATTGTAAACTCTACTCCAGTAAAAATTAAAAACAAAACAAAACAGAACTTGACATAACCCCAAAGTCCATCATGGACTGAATGAATACTCTATGGCATAGTCTTACAATGTAATACAACAGTGAAAATAAATGAACTGCAGCTATATGCATCAGCATCATTGAATCTCACAAACACAATATTGAGCAAGGAAGCAGAATTTGGAAGAACTTTAAGAAAATGTTCCAAAGCTGGGCCAACTGACGAATACTTCGTTTATTTAAAGACATCTAAATAGACTGTACAACTGTAAAGGCAAGGGGATGATTATTATAGTATCAGGAGAGCAGGTATCTCTAGGGGGAGGACATTCTCAGTCATCTCACATATGGAGATTCCACGGTGTTGGTCCTGTTTTCTAGCTGTGCCCTGTGTGGTGATTCTGGGGAGGATATGTTTTATGCCCCCTTTTTAAATGTCTGATATAGTTATCAACTTCGAAATGAAAAGGAGGAAAAGAGCAGTCCTCCATGGAACCCTCTGACACACCCAGGAGGGAGAGTATAGAAAACCAACCTATATACAACCTACCAAGGCTGAATCATGAAGAAACAGAAAATTTGGATAATGAGTAAGGAGATTGAAACAGTAATCAAGAAGCTCCCACCAAAGAAAAGCCCAAGACTAGGTGGTTTCACCAGTAAATTCTACCAAACATTTAAAGCAGAATTAACACCAATCCTTCTCAAACCCTTTCAAAAACTGAAGAGAGAACACTCCCAAACTCATTTTTATCAGAATTATCCTGATACCGAAGCCAGATAAAGACACAGCAAAAAAAGAAAACTATAGGCCAATACCTCTCATAAACATGGATGCAAACATTTTCAATAAAATATCCACAAAGTGATTTCAGCAGCACAGTAAGAGGCTCACACACCACGAGCAAGCAGAATTATTCCTGGGAAGCAACGAAGAACAGCACATGGGATATACCACATTAATAGACAGAAATCATATGCTCATTTCAACAGATGCACAAAATGCACTTCACAAGATTCAACATCCTTTCGTGATAGAAACTCGCAACAAATTGTGTAGAGAAAGAACGTACCTCAACATAATAAAGGCCATATATGACAGAACCACAGCTAACATCTTACTCGTGGGGAAATGTTCAAAGCTTTCCCACTATGACTAGGTACAAGGTACAAGACAAGGGTGCCCACGCTCACTTCTATTCAGCATTGCACTGGAAAGTCCTCGCCAGAAAAAAAGAGAAAAAGAAATAAAAGTCATCCAAACCAGAAGGGAAGAAGTCAAAACGTCTCTGCAGATATGTGTAGGTATACATGTATGATGAAGAAAGAAACCTACGGAACTACACAGCGGGTACAGTGATGGAGGTGCAGTTCTCTTTCATGGATTAAGTGAGGATCTTGTAGCTAATCATGTCTACTTTTCTGCTTGGGCTAAGAAACCTGGAGTTTGATTTCCTATTTGCTTTTTATAAGCATTTCATTAGTTTGGGTGCTGACTCACTTTTTCTATTGTTTCCATTGTCCTGACTTCCTCATGCTTTTCCCCTGATATAAATTGCTTCAAATCTTTTTCAGAACAAAATAGGGTATACATTCACAAACACATCACCATCATCCAAACTGATTTATAAATGACCAAGGATTATTATGTGTCTCCATTTTCTCAGCCTTACAAGGTACTCCAGCCCTAACATGCATATGGTAGTACTGTCATATATATATATATATATATATATATATATATATTTTTTTTTTTTTTTGCGGTACGCGGGCCTCTCACCTCTGTGGCCTCTGTGGCCTCTGTGGCCTCTCCCGTTGCGGAGCACAGGCTCCGGACACGCAGGCTCAGCGGCCATGGCTCACGGGCCCAGCTGCTCCGCGGCATGTGGGATCTTCCCGGACCGGGGCACGAACCCGTGTCCCCTGCATCGGCAGGCGGACTCTCAACCACTGCGCCACCAGGGAAGCCCCTGTCATATTTTGTCTAAACTTAACGTAGACTTCTGCTGTGATGCAACTAGGAGCATGGGGTTAACAGGTAAGCAGATTTGGTTTGCGTCTTGGATTTGCTTACAGGCTATGTAGCCTTAAGCAAATTCCTTAACCTCTCTGAATCTCATTCCTAAAAGAGTACCTTGAAGGAATGTTGTACGGATTAGAAGTATTTTATGTAAGGCACTAAAACATGCTAAGAAGTTAAAGAACAGGAAATGTTCATTGCTAAATCCCATCTGCCATCCACTGGCTGCCTGATGTCGGGAGGTTGAATAACCTGAGCGTGTTTAGTTTTTTCAGGAATTGGATGTATATAAAACCCCTAACAGATAAGACTCATTTTAGTTTTTCCTACTTTACCTCCTTCTTCACCTGTTGCCTCCAGGTAGAAAACCCTTTACCATCTGTTAGCACCCAACCACTTACTAAGTTTCAGTTAAGAGAGGGGTCTTTTGTATTTACTTTTCTAACTATAATTAACCTTGTCCTTCTCAAAGTTCTCTGTGGATTTTTGACTAGTTTTGTGTTTCTTGCCCCATGGTTCCAAGTTTTTCGGGGGGACAGATTGTCTTGTTAACCTTTGTATTCCCTCATAATACCCTGCGTGCAGTTGGTGGTCATTATTTATGGCTTTGCATTAATTTTTCTGAGGATACTAAGACGATGTTAGACTACTTTCTTTTGGCTTTGTTTGACCTCACCTAACACTCTGCCGTCATGTTCCTGTTCGGGTTTTGGGTTAAGTCAGTATGGGCAACAACAACAAAAATAACAGATGGACACATTTGAAATTGTAAATTTTAATGCATTACATCAGAGGATAGGAACATAAGTGACTTCTGGGTGGGTCCTCCTCAGTCCAAGGTCGATGTTTTGGGTAAATTTAGGCTCCCAGCCTTTTTGCCCCTGTGGTTTTCACAGGGATGCTCTCAAAGGCCTTCCGGAAGCAACCCGGGGAGATGGAGCGCCCAGTTTTCCTGGAATTACACGAGCATATACACACACAGGACGCAGACTACGCACGCGGCACAGGAAGGACCCGTGGCTGGGTTGTTTCTTTTACCTGACTCCACCTGGAAAGCTCCTTCTCACCACCTCGGCCCGTTACAAGGACACCTTTCCTACTTACTTTCCCGACGGCCTTACCGGCTGCGTTGACTTCGGCTGCCCAACACCTCGGGAGGCGCCGCCACTAGGTGACCGCGGCCGCTCGCCCTCCGTCCGCCCAGGCCCGAACGGCCGACCGCGCATGCGCACGGCGCCGCTCCCAGCCCCCACCGCGCGCCCGCCCTCAACGCCCCGAACACGGCCCGCCGGGCCATGGAACCCGCCGAAGTTGGCGGGGTTCGAGCTCTCCCGTTCGCTCGCTTGGGCGCCTTCCCCCCGTGAGGCCCGCGGGCGCTCGGCCGGGACTCGGCGTCCGCTTGAGCCGCTCCGCCCGCCTCCGCCGCTCGGCCGGGTGCGCGCCGCGCCCCCGCGTCCGGTCCCCGCGCGTGCGCGCTCCGCCGAGTGTATGTGTGTGAGTGTGTGTGCGGCCGAGGGGTGGGCCGCCGCCGCCGACGATGCCGCGGGGCCGCCCCCCGAAGCCCAAGGAGAGCAAGGCGCGCGGCGACACCGGTAAGCGGCCCCGGCCCGGCCGCGCTGTGCCGCTCCGCGCGAATATAGTCCCCCGATGCGGTGCGGAGGGCGCCGGGAGCGGGCCGAGCCGGGGGCGGCGGAGCGGGCTGGGGTTGGAGACCGGGGGCCGGGTCCGGGCCGGGGTGGGTGCTCCGCCGCCTCCACCGTCACCACCGCCGCCGCCGCCGCCCGACTGCTGGGTCGCAGGGTGCGGGCGGAATGATACCGGCGCGGCGCGGCCGGCCCCTCCGCCGGGCTGGGCCTACTTTCCTGGGCCGCGCGGGCGGGCGGCGGGGCCGGGGGCGAGGCGCGCGCCGCCGCCCTCCTCCTCCTCTCTCTCCTCTACTCTGTCTTCTCCTCCCCCCCCCCGTTCCTCCTCCCCCCTCCACACCCCGTCCTCCTCCCCCGTCCTCGGCGTCTTCCTCCCGCTCCCCCGCCCGCCACCTTCCTCCCGCTCCCCCGCCCGCCACCTTCCTCCCGCTCCCCCGCCCGCCACCTTCCTCCCGCTCCCCCGCCCGCCACCTTCCTCCCGCTCCCCCGCCCGCCGCCCTCCCGGCCCGGCTGCCGCAGGTCGTGGGAGGCCTTTCTGACGAGAAGGCGCCGGCCCGGTGTGCATCCCCGGGGTGGCGGGCTCGGCCCGACCGCGAGCTGCCACGGCCCCGGGGGGACGCCCGCGGGGGGCTCGGGAGCGGGTCCCCCCGCGGTGACACGGGGGCCGAGACCGTGCGGGGCTCGTGTCCAGGTGCACCGTCTTCCGGCCCCGGGCTCGGTGGCCCAGCGTCACCCTCCCCTGAGGCTCGGGACCCAGGCGGGCGGGCGCTCCGGATTTCGGAAGAGAAAGAGGTCGTGTCTGGAAAGGAAGGCCGTTGCGTCCGTTCCATTTTGCCGCTGCGGCGTTTGGGAAGAGAGGAGGAGAGGCTAGGTGTAAGCTTAGCGGCGTTGTCAGTGCTCTTACTGCAGTTGCTGAAGTTCACGGGCATGGGAACCGGGCTGCAGCGCCCGCGAGTTTCCGCTGGAGAGGTGTCGCTGGAGAACAGTCCAGGTGTGCACGTTTGTAGTTGCCTAGTGGCTGCTAGAGTTCTCGTTAGTGGCTGATGGTGTCTGGAAGGAGGTCTTAAAGGCCTCGCACCCTGATCGGGCCTTATTTTGGTCAGTGTTAATTTTTTTCTCGTTAATATGATTTATGCAAAAAAATAAAGTGCAGTGTCCTGCAGTTCTTAGTCACTTGCAAAAGGCTTAGGGTAGAGAAAGAATGTGAAGTTTACATTGCAATACGGCTGCGACCTCTTCTTCCCCCAGTCTTTCCCGTCTGACCAAATGGCATCACCGTTCACCTGCTTTTTCAGGCCCCAAACTGAAAAATAATTCTTTCCCTTCCTCCCCAAGGCGTTTCATAATTTTGTAGCTTCGCCCTCAGAGGCGTGTTTTCAGTCGGCCCTACTCCCTCCCTCTCCAGTGTGACTGCGAGGCGGGCCTCTGTGGGAGCCTTCTGACTGGTCTCTGCTGGTCTCCATCACCTGTCAGCCTGAGGCATCTCTTTCAAATGTAAATAAGGTGGCCACACCCTGATTAGAACTCTGCAGAGGATCCTTCATCCCTTTAACTTACAGTCCCACTCCTTGCAGGACCCTGCCTGATCTGGCCTGCGTCTGACTCTCCTTTCTCTTTCCTTGCCCTCAGTCCTTTGTTCCTGGACGAGGCCACGTTTGTTTCTGCCTCAGGGCCTTTGCTGCTCCCTATTCTGAGAAGCCACCCCTTGCTCATTCTGGGCTTCAGCTTCCCGAGAGAGGCCTCCTTCCTCAGACCCTTCTGAAAGTTGCTTTCCCTGCCTTAGACCAGTCATTCTCTACCACAGTGGTTCTCAGAGTTGGTTCATGGACCCCTGGGAGTTCTGGAGACAGTTTCAGGCATCTGCAAGGTAAATATTCTTGTAGTGATACTAAGTCCGTTGGGCTTTTTCACTTGGTTAACAATTGCACTAATCATACACAGGCCATTAAGGGTGAAACTGCTGACTCTTCAGCAGGAGCCGTGGTGGCGACACCCAACCCTGTGAGGCAGCGCTATATTCATGTATTTCACTCAAAACAACGTATTGCAACAGAGAGAAAGCAGAAGCAGATACGAGCATCCACCTGTCTTCTGTTAAAGGAGACCTTGAAAAGATGTACAAAACTGAAAACTCCTCTTATTTTGTTTTTGGAGAGTATGTTTTACACAAAAATGTGCATTTATGTTAACATGGACTAGATTTATTTTTCAGTGAATAAGCGTTTGGAAAGTTGCTCAGTTTTAATTTCTAGTAGGGCAGCTGTCAATAGGTATAACCTGTAGAAAGTTAAGGTCTTTGGGGTCCTCCGTGATGTTTAAGAATATCAAGGGGTTCTGAAACCAAAAGGTTTGGGGACTGTTGCTCTAACAGTTTACGATTTTAATTACGATTTTAATGTTTCTCATAATCTGAAATTATTTTGCTTGTTTTTCTGTGTCACTCATTATGAATTTTATTCTAAGAAAAACATGGAAGGTAGGAGGTGGGGATTTTTACACAACACCTATATTTCCCCTATATTTTTATAGGGGAAATGAGGCTCAGAGAGGTTAAGTGATATGGAAGGTCTACTCAGCTAGTAAGTGTCAGAGTTGGATTTGAATCTGCCTTTGAGTCCAAAAGGTCCATTGCATTGCTCTGCCCTCATAACTATAAAGCCCTACATGTGGGTTAATTCATTTCTTCAGCAAGCATTTTGAAGCACTTCTTGTCGTAGGTGGGCACTGTGTTAGGGGCTGAGGGTGCAGAGTTTAAGAAGAGAGACGAGGTCTCTGCCTTGGGTCTCAGGACGGTGTGTGTCCTCTGACGGCAGGAACACTGTTTATGGCAGCAGGTAACAGTCACTGGTGGTCTAGGCTTCCCAAGGAAAATGATGTCAAAACTGAAACCTCCAGAAATGAGGAGAAGGAGGTCTGCTCAAAAACATTTCCTTTTTTTTTTAAATGCAACTTAGCAAAGTGATCGTTATACATATGCCTATATTCTTTTCCAGATTCTTTTCCATTATAGGTTATTATAAGGTATCTAGTGGAGTTCCCTATTCCCTACTGCTATACAGTAGGTCCTTGTTGTTTATCTGTTTTATATATAGTAGTGTGAATATGTTAATCTCAAACTTCTAGTTTCTCCCTCCCCCTCCCCCCCAATCCCCTTTGGTAACCATAAGTTTGTTTTCTAGGTATGTGAGTCTATTTCTCTTTTGTAAATGCGTTCATTTGTATCATTTTTTTTTTTTTAGATTCTACATATAAATGATATCATGTGATATTTGTCTTTCTCTAACTTACTTCACTTAGTATGATAATCTCTTGGTCCATCCACGTTGCTGCAGATGGCATTCTTTCATTCTTTTTTTTGTGGCTGAGTAATATTCCGTTGTATATATGTACCACATCTTTATCCATTCCTCTGTTGATGGACATTTAGGTTGCTTCCATGTCCTGGCTATTGTGACTAGAACTGCTCTGAACATTGGGGTGAATGTATCTTTTCGAATTAGAGTTTCCCCGGATACATGCCCGGAAGTGGGATTGCAGGATCATATAGCAACTCTGTTTTTAATTTTCTGAGGAACGTCCATACTGTTTCCCATAGTGGCTGTATCAATTTACATTCCCACCAACAGTGTAGGAGGGTTCCCTTTTCTCCACAGCCTCTCCAGCATTTGTTATTTGTAGACTTTTTGATGATGGCCGTTCTGACTAGTGTGAGGTGATACCTCATTGTAGTTTCGATTTGCGTTTCTCTGATCATTAGCGATATTGAGCATCTTTTCACGTGCCTGTTGGCTATCTCTATGTCTTCTTTGGAGAAATGTCTATTTAGGTCTTCTGACCATTTTTTGATTGCGTTGTATGTTTTTTTGATATTAAGCTATATGAGCTGTTTGTATATTTTGGAGATTAATCCCTTGTCAGTAGCATAAAAACGTGTCTTAAAGTAATAATTAGCTTTAGGACATAAGTAAAGAAGTCAGCCTCATCTGTTACATAAATTGATGGGGGAGTGTTTGTTGAGCACTCACCTTTGTGCCTGGCACTGTCCTGGGAATATAAAGATGAGTGAGATAGGGTTTTTTTTTATCATTGTTATTTTAGTTTACTCTTAATAAGCCGTAATGTGATCTGGATGGAAACTACATTTTGGGATCTTGTGTGGCTTCTGTTTTTCCAGTAGAATGGTGCAAACCTTTTCTGCCTAGCTTGAACCTTTAGTTGGTCTCCTGCTAAGTTTCTGTTTTCTGTTGAAGGGATATTTGTTAATACTTCATTTCCAGAGAGCTGAGGCAGGCAGACCTTGAGCCAAAGGAATAAACAATTCCGTTCTTGCTCAGATTACCAATTCAGGCCATTTTAGATTTTCTCCGATGAATTCAGTAACTCTGTACTCTTCCTTCAAGGGGCGGAGACTGCTAGCACAGCTAACAGAAGTAGAGCTTGAACTTCTTACAGGGCAGTAGGGGAAGTGCTCTGAGGCTTTAAGGGGACTCTGCTTCCCTGGCAAAACTAGGTGTCATTGGTGGGTAACAGTTAAGGGGAGATAGATTCTGCTTAAAATAATTACTTTCTATCAATATCAGGTATTGAAGGATGAAAAGATTTCTTCAGAAAGGAGCAAGCTGTACTCTCCATAATCGAACTTTTCAGGTAGACAGAAACTCAGAGTGTTTAGTATTTTGAAGAAAGTGTGATTAGATAAGACACAAAATCTAAAGATTTTATGATCCTGGAATCAAGTAGTGAGTTAACATGGGTTCAAGATCTTGGTCTTTGACACAAACCTAGCCTGGGAAAACCATAGTAAACCTAATTCTTCATTAGATAGAGTCAATTCAGCAGTTCTAAAATGCTTAATGTATATCAGCGTTTTTACATTGTCTCCATACGCAAAGACAGTGCTCAAGGAATTAGCAATATTTTTCAAACTTCTTTTTTGTTTTAGAATTCTCTCACGTGAAATAACGCAGCAAGACCTCCGGTGGCGGTGTTCACCCTTGGAGCGCATTATGGAGTCATGTGGGGAGCTTTTAAAGCTCTCGATGACCGGGCCTCATCCGGTGACATCTGAGCCTATGGTGGGACCTGGGCATCACGGCTTTTAGAGCTCACAGGAGATTCCACTGTGTGGTCCAGGCTGAGGCCACTCTGCTGGGAAGGAGGGAGGGAGGGAGCTGGGGCTCCGAGGTGCCTTTCTCTAGCATTTCTCTCAGCAAACGTGAAACCTGTTGCTTTTCTGGGTTAAAATGAAAAATGTATGTAATCTAATAAACTGCAGGAACAGACTGTGCTCTCTTAATACCTCAATTCTTTAACTGAATTCAAAACCTCAGTTGTCTGTAGGTCAGACACTAATGCAAACTAGCGAGGCAGTTAAAGGTAGTAGGTGATAGCAGTTGATAGCTGGCTCTGGGGTTTCGGAGAATTGGAGTTCCTATTTTTTCCACAGGGGCTGGCTCCTACTTTGCTCCATTTAATTATTGCCACAGCTAATGATTTTTTTTCAGGAGAAGCCAGAAATGTGTTTTTTGAAACTCCTTTATTATTGTATTTAGGTGACTAATTTAATTGAATAGAACATCAATGTAGAAAAGTGCGTAGATTTTAAGTGAAAAGCTTCATGAATTTTCATATGTAACCAGAACATTAGCAGTACCTTAAAAGTTCCCCTTGTTCTCTCTATTACCTGCTGACCCCCACTGTCCTCTTTTGATACCGTAGATTAGGTTTAGCTGTTTTTGAACTAAATTGAGTTCATAGTATGTACCCATTTCTTTCTGGCTTCATTCATTCAATATTTGTTTTTATGAGGTTATCCTCCCTATTATATAGCAGAAATCTGTTCGTTTTTCATAGGTATATAGTATTCTGTTGTATGAACATACTATCATTTAATTTATCCTTTCTACTATAGATATTTGGGTTGTTTCCAGTTTGGGGTTATTACAAATAAGTGCTGCTGGGAACCTTTATGCATTTCTGGGTCATGGTGGGCAGTGGTGAGTGAGTGTACCAGTTTACTCTCCCACCAGTAGGGGATTAACCTTCCATTTGCTCTGTAGTCTTTGCCTTATCACTCTCTTTGCACTTGGCATTGTCTGTCCTTTTTAATATTTTAGCCCTCCTGATATGTGTAGTGTTATCTCATTTTGATTTTTAATTTGCAGGTCTGTGCTAATAAGGGTTTTATGTTTATTAAGCATTTGTTCTCTTTCGTGAAGCTCTTAAGTCTTGTCCCATTTTTCTACTGAGTTGGATGTTTGTTTGTCTTTAGTTAGTAGACTTTTTAGAGCAGTTTTTAGGCTTGCTCAGAGTTCAGCCGATAGTTTGGAGTTCCTGTATACTGTACTCCTTATTTATCTCCTCACAGCCTCCCGTTATTAATGTCTTGTTTTAGCGAATGAACCTATTTTGATTCATTATTATAAACAAAGTCTATAGCTTACATTAGGATTCACTGTCTTCATAGCTTTGCCTGCTCCAGAACGGCATATAGTTGGAATCATATAGCATGTAGCCTTCTCAGACTGCGTTTTACTAAGCAGTGTGCATTTTACACGTCTCCATGTCTCTTGATGGCTTGATATAGCTCCTTTCTTTTTATTGCCGAATAATATTCATTATATGGATGTACCACAGTATATTTGTTTACATTTTGAAGGACATCTTGGTTGCTTCCAGTTTTTTTGGTAATTATGAATAAAATTGGTGTATACATTCACGTGCAGGTTTTTGTGAGGGCATGAGATTTCAGCTCATTTGAGTAAATGCCAAGGAGCATGATTGCTAGATCAGACGGTGAGACTATAAACAGCTTTGTGAGAGATTGCCAGACCTCTCCACAGTGGCTGTACCCTTTTGTGTTCTCAC